ATGCAGTCAGGTGGAGCTGTTTTCTGCAGTCCAACACCTGCTCTACAACATGCATGCATCTGGAAACACTGGAAAGAGATTTACAGGGCAAAAAAATGTTCAACACCTCTCTTTTCACCTGCTTGTAGCTCAAAATTTCTGATAGGTGATTTACTAGCCAATATGATGATAACCCCTCCCAGGACATGTTCAGCAGCTCAAGGGGGCTCAATAAAATTGATGCAGTCAGGTGGAGCTGTTTCCTGAAGTCCAACACCTGCTCTTCAAAATGCATGTATCTGGAAACACAGGAGAGTGATTTACAGGCAAAATGAAGTTCAACACCTTCCTTTTCACCTGCATGTAGCTGATTAACCAGCCAATATGATGATAATCCCTCCCAGGGCATGTTCAGCAGCTCAGGGGGGCTCATAAAAAGTGATGCAGTCAGGTGGAGCTGTTTCCTGAAGTCCAACACCTGCTCTCCAACATGCATGTGTCTGGAAACACTGGAAAAGGATTTACAGGGTAAAAAATGTTCAACACCTCTCTTTTCACCTGCTTGTAGCTCAAAATTTCTGATAGGTTAGGGTTAGGGTTAGGGTTAGTGTTAGGGGTTAGGGTTAGGGGTAAGTCATTAGGGTTAAGGGATTAAAAACCCAAAAATGGAAATGTACAAATTATATAGCTCAAAAACTAAACGTGGGAGGGGCCTGAAACTTCCTGTCCCCTTAGTTCAGTGATATCTCATATGTGGGGATCCATTCACTTTTCAAAATTGGAAAAAAAAAATTACTAAGTGCGGAAGCCCGATTTCATCCATATCTACATCTTTGCCTTATTTTTATAGTTACTAAAATTGGGCCGATCTTGGCCATGAACATCCCAAAATAAAAAGTTTCCCCACTCCACCCCTTGGATTCCCCCAGAGGTGCTGGCCCAAGTGGTGCTGCTTGGGCTGCTACCCCAGCGACCCAAACCCAGATAAGCAAAAGACAAGGGATGGACAGTTGGCCAAAGTATCTAAGTGACGTATATCTTTAGCTTTTGAATTGTTTAACTAGTTGATAACCATATTGGTCTTATCTTGATCCACCTGTGTGATGTATAGATGAGGGAGAATCTGACACCTCCTAACATTTTCTTGTAGGAGCAAAACTGTTCAACAGTTTGTACAACTCCTGCCAACATTAGCCAAAAAGCTTGCACAAAAAAGGGAATAAAAGAGCAGTTTTGTGGAGCCTAACAAACCACCACAGCTTTTGACAGCCATCTTGGTTCTTAAGACCTCACTGGTTGGAAAATGAATCGGTGTCAATAGCAGCTATGCTAAGGAAGTTAGCTAGAGGCAAAGCAGATAAATTAAAAAATTGATAGCAGGTGTTAATGTTAGTATGCTGACAGATCACTTTTTGAGATTTATCAGATGTTTTTTTAATAATCTGTAAGCAACTTACAAAGGTGAGCTTTATGGAGACAGGGACAAATTCTTAGTCTGATTTATGGCTGTTGAACTTTGGATTGCAGATAAACAATCAACAAGAAGACCCTAACCTTTGAGACAGGTAAATTTACTTGAACATGAAGGGTAATGAAGCCTGTGTTTAGGTGACTGAACACTTAAACCCTATGATGTGTTCAAACATGTGAAAATATGCTAAAGATATCACGATTTTGCTAGCTGTGGTTAAAATCATTGTCTGAGAATCAGGGTGGGTTTAGCAGGTGAGTTATTCTCCTCCTGCTGTTGCTCTTATCAGCTGAATGTTTATCAGTTAATAAGTTCATAAGTATTCCCAGCTCAATAAAATCTGATCACAAGTCATTCAGAGTTTAAGACAAGTCACTGTACTTCTGATTCACAAGCTCCCTTTATTTTTGCCATTTTAAACCAGCAAAAAACAGCAGATCTGCAGTCAACAGCAGGTAGGAACTACAAGAACTTCAAATGATTATAATTTTGGGAGTTTTATTCTTGTTAAACCCCATATACATACATCAAAATGTGTGACTTAAGCAGTAATAATATACCAGTGTAAAAATGTTATTTTAGATCTGATGTACTTTAAGTCAATCGCAGTGTAAAAGTAATTGTTTTTGGAGATTTTACCACAGACTGTTCAGTTTAGGGTCTGATATCACAAAAAAATTTTAGCTGCCTGAATTTTTAATTATTTTTACAATGTTATAACTACATCTATTCTTCAGGTTAGGGCTATGACTAGGGTTGAGAACCTTGAGTTTCAAAATGAAGCCTACAGATGCTTTTCAACATTATCTAATCTGATCTGGTTTAATTTATTCACATTTTATAGGATCTGGTCTGGTTCTTCAGTATGTCTAAACGTTTATCTTCTTTGGAGGTCTTCCTCTGCATCATTTCTTCTCTTCTTCTCATCTGTTGCATAAGTCTCATTGTCGTTGCCTGGGTCAGTCTGAAGCCTGAAGGTAAACCATCTTAATTACATGATCAGTGTGCTCCAGGTGTGGTGGTGATAATGTCATTAATCATGTGTGCAGGCACAGAAGAGCCTGTGCAGTTATCAGGCCAGGTGGTGATTGTTGCYGGGGCTGAGTTTTCTGATGAGCTGAGGAATTCCAGCAGCCAGATGTTTAAGTCTTTGGCCTTTGACATCCAGCAGTTGGTGAGACTGTCCTTTTAATGTGAAATGACATAGGAACACATGCAACATTTATTTTGAAAAAGTCAACATTCTTCCATCACTGATTTTTATTCAGATAAAACTAAAGCATCTTGACATTTGTGGTTTTTATTGTAGAAACCCTGCAATCAGCATTGTTTCAGTTCTTTGGCTTTTATGCTAAAAAACAGTCAGCATTATCATGTAATTTTAATCTTATTTAGTAYAGAACATGACCTATAATCTCAAATCAGGAAGGTGAATATCTTTGATGATTGATTGATTGACAGGTGTCTGAGGCATTCAGATTCAGCAAGCTGTGGTGGCTCTACCGATTCTGCCAGGTTCAATACTTCAGGTTAGATATCTGTTTATTCAATTTACCTGTTAGTTGATCAAAGTAAATCAGTTGGAATATAAATTAATCTGCATGGGAATTTTGGTTACACACGGGGACACTATAAGACCAAATCCAAGCTGCTTTGGATGGTCTCAATCAACTATGGAGGAGTGGTGAGGCAGCAAAAGAACTGAGTAAGAGGAACAAACAGGTTAGCAAACTGCATGCAGCTCAACCTGGTGTAAGTGTTGCCAGATAAAAAATAAAAATACTAATTTGGCCCAATCCATTTCTTTAAATATTTTCACTAAACACAATACACATCTCATCTCACAACACCTTCACTCAGCACATATGACATTTTGGGTCAAAATGCAATCATTATAAAATGACATTACAAAAATTCAACATGTCCCATCCAGCAACCCATGAAAAATGTATTTCTAGCACATTGTTTTTATTTGTCTCAATAAAAATGTGAAAAAAACACAACATTTCAAGAGCTGGTTCTCATGTAACCAAGGCCTGGGTTTTATATACAGTTTCAAGCTTTGAGCTCTATGCTTTAGTTTAGAATTGAGAAAGTGCCCGAGATGGGAGTGAAACATCTTCACTTACAGAACTGTGTTGTTCATTACAATATTTCTTGACTGCTTTCATGTAGAAGTCAACTCAAAACTTCARTTTCAAAACAGTGGCCTAATCAGTGCCACTCATAATCAAAGTGAGCTTTTGTTTACAAAAGGCTCTAACTGTGCCAATTCATAAAAAATTAAACCCATCCAAAAGGAGCCGTCAAACACAAATCGCAACCAAGTGTATGAGCTCTTCCAATCAATCATTACATAGTGGACAAAAAAATACAGCACTCAGTGCACCATCGCTTGTCTTCGTAGCCTGTTATATCGCTTTCATTCTATTTGTTATTTTTCTGCATAGGCTGTTAATTTTTCCTTCTTGAAAAGAATTGGATCCAGAATCAGAAATGGTTTTATGTCAGTTTTATTGAATAATTTACATTTCTGTCAAACTATGGATGAAAAC